CAATACCTGGAGACAGCAGAATAGAAGAGAAAGAACTGGGGAAAATCACAAAATACAAAGACCAGCAAATAGAAATAGAATGACTGTGGCAAAAGAAAGCAAAGATAGTACCAATTATAATAGGTGCCTTGGGTGCAATCCCAAAACATTTGGAGTACCACTTGAAGACCATCAGCATTGACAAAATCACCATCAGTCAGTTACAAAAGGCAGCTTTACTTGGAACAGTTTACATCCTGCGACAATATCTTTAACACAAGCAACATCTGCCTATCCCAAGTCCTCAGGAAGGACTCAAGAGGTGGATAAAAATGCCAAATTCTGTCTAAACAACTGGCTGACTGTGAGACCAACCATAATAATAATATCTTTATCCTAGAACCTTAGGAAGGATCCAACAGTCAAGAATATCAAAACCAGTCAGAATTATCTGGTAAACTGCATATAAATAATCATAATCATAATGAAATTGTAAGAGGATGGAGAAATGCAAATTCCTCTTGACACTTATTTCTGTCCTGTCAGGATGCAGACAGCAGAGTGTAAAAATTGTGTATACAATTGTTAGATCTCTCCATCATTGGCTTTTAACTTTCTGGAAAAAAAAAAGTGGCCAGTGCTTTGTCTCTTTTATTTTGTTTCAATTTCATTGCCTTATAAATGGAGTAAAAGAAATTAATATATCCATTTTGTTAAGATTTGGAAATCTTTTTCAGGCAATTCATTCAAATATCGAAATGAATATGTGCATAGTGAGAAATGCCCCAGCCCCTCTATAAAGTCACACTGTGACATTAACCAACAGTTGCTTGTTTGCAGGTACACAGGAAATTGTCTACAGCAGGAAGGCTCCCTGTTGCAGACCTGAGACCTGTACCAAAATTTCTTGCTCTTCAGGGATGTGACCAGTATGATTCTGGATATAAGCCCTGTTCATCACTTCCTCCATGCTGAGATCTGCACGTGAGGGTATCATCTGGACAGGCTTAGGCCTTCTCTGAGAATTTCTGGTCTCTTTTACATTCACCCTGATATTTCCTGTTTCCAGAGTTGTGTTTCTAGCTGACATAATATACAGAAAAATGTCAATTAATTTCTGCAGAATTCAGTACTGCATGATTGGAGGAAGGTGATTCCAACTCACAGGGTTCTTGCAATATGGTTTATTTGGGGCATTTAGTGTTTTGCAAAGAGTTAATAGTTGTATTCTCTTTGCAATTATTCATGTAGATCTACTCAGACTGATTCCCATTTCAGTTAGTTCACAGCGAAATACCTGTTCCACCTTGTGTTGTTGTGAATTCAAATGGTGGTTTTGTGGGAGGTGTAACACATTTGTAGACTTTTCTATCGATTGTTCCATTGACTTCGCAAATTGCAGTTATACACGAGCCCAAGCCATCAGTAGTATTGTAAATTACCTCCTTGTAGTTATACCTCTTTCCATCATAGTAACAGTAGCAAGCTGCATTTAGAAAATAAGAATGGGGTGTGACTAGGCAAAGTTATATACTCTATAGTTTTATGGTGCCATTAATAACTCTTTTCAAGTTACCTTTAGGATCGTAGTCACACTTAATGCCTTTGCTGGTACATTTACTGTAAGAAACAACAGTGATGTATGAGGCTGATGATTCATTAAAAAACACATTCCAGTTTATTTTCTACTAAATCCCACTGAATAGCTTTGCTGGCATATGTCCTAAATGGGGACATTCCTGTAACACCTCTGATTTACAATGGATGTTGTAAAAAGCATTATGCTGAAATACAGTTTTCTAGGAACCGAAAGAAAGGGTATCATAATAACTCCAGCATTTTGGTTCTCTAAAAAGCTTTCACAACATTTATTATCTGGATATGCAGTTATTAACTTACAGAAGACAGGCATCTATCACTACAGTCTATTCTTGGAAAATAGAGTTGAAATTTACGTAAAATACTTCAGGAAATAGTCTATTATTTAGCATACATATGGTATAGATGTTAATATATATCTGAGTGCATGTGTCTGAATGTGAATTTATTCCTCTCTCTGCGTGTATATGCGTGTGTGTTTATATATATGAATGTTTATGTGTTTAAATGGGGATATCTCTGTGTTATGAGTCTGTTTATCTATTTGTGCATATGGATATTTATGCAGACTTAATGAATGTATGTACTTATCTTTATGGATATGTAGTTACACAAATTTAACTATTTTAAAATATAATTTTCATGCTCTTGCTCATTGTGTACATGCCTTCCACTTTATAACAGGCCTGGCCCCTCTTTGCCAGACCGCATTCAGCCTTTGGGTCACTGAAAATTGTACAAACCAGCCATATTCTGTGGCACTGACTACCTAAAGATGAGATTGGCTGCCAGTTATTTCTTGCTTTTCCCCCTTTAATTTGGATAGGTACCTTTATAAATTCTCTACTGTAACATACTGTACATACATACATACAGAAGTTTTCCCACACAGTAAAAACAATAAACATTTTAAGTTAAAAATAAGAGAAATAGAGAATAATAGACCAATGAAAAAGAAATAAAAAGGGATAGAAAAGTCGGAAAAAGAAAAAAGAAAGAATAATAAAGAAGAGGCTTCCAATCTTCTTAACAGCGGTTATAAGTATATTTATATTTTACCCTCTGTCTCTAAGTTTACATCAAAGTTTCTTCTTTCCCTAATCTACTTTTCTAATCATCAAATCCATAAATTATCAGTTCATTTTTTTTCTTTTTTCAGCAAAAATTCCATAAGGGGTTTAACATCAACTTCTGTCAATTTTTAGAAGAGCTTTCCAAGGTGATGTTCTTCATAAGCACCGGACTTACCCCTATGGTCCATCAGACAACATGGCCTTCCATCGGGCTGGGAAGTGGTACTTTATAAACATTGCTGTCAATTGCTGAGACTTCCAAAACCATCTTCCCAGTATTAAATTTCCAGTACCTACACTAGAAATAACCTCCCCCCCTCCAGACATGACCATTCACAGGAAGACAAGGGAGTCTATGTTTACTACCCTGAGCTCCCGAATGAAAGGCAGGATATAAATCTAACACATACATAAATCACATTCACTACTACTTTCTTCACCCATAGAGTAGAAACTGGAGACTCATACCTTAATAAAAAAAATTGCCTTAATTAAAAAAAAATAAAGAATACATGAACCTTTCTTGTCAGTAAAAAATATGCTGTGTCAGGCTTTCACCAGACCACTGGAAGAAGCAAAAAGCTGGCATGCAGAGACTCAAAGCCACAGGCCTTGAGAAAACAGTTTTATTACAGATACTAGAGAAATCATTAAAACAAAGAATACCAGCCACTACAAAAATAAGACTGAAGCCATCTAGCAGACCCAAACTTCAAAACCTGGGTCTCACTTTCCCTCATGTCCATCGTCATAGATCCAGGCATGTTTGGTTCTCAGCAGGACAAGCAGTTGATACCTGTGCATTGTGATTGTGGTAGTCAGGGGTGCACAGAATATGGTCAAAAAGGCCGAGATGATTGCCTCAATGGTGTGAAGAAAGTTTGGCATGTTTTTTATGTATGTTGCACATACAAAATGGGCAGAGCTCCAACTACACCATTGTGGCCACCATTTGACTGTTTTGACCATACCCTGTGGATACCCCTGCTAGTAATTTAGATTTAGGCTGAAAGTTTCTCGCTTCTTGTTTCTGAGCTTGCTCATTCTAACTTTTACATGATGGAGTAAAACAAGGAGGATCTTATTTGCCCCTCTAAGGTTGACTGTTGAATTAGTATAGTATTCTACATTTCTTTGTTTTGGGTTCTTGGTTTATTATGTATCTAAAATTAAACTGAAACTGTTGTTTCTACCAATTCCCCGAAGAAGAGAATGACCAGCAGCAAGGTGGATGGACTCAGCTACAGTGGCGATGGGTGCACCAAGGGAAAACCTGAAAGACCAGGTTAGCAATAAATTGTCATGGGAAAAATCTATCTATGTGGTCACTAAGCATCAACAATGACTTGATGGCATATAATCAATCAATCAATCAATCAATCAATTAATGTATTATTGTAAGTGTATACAAATAAACAGATAAGGTCATTTTAGAATCACTGTAATGTGTATTGTGTATGTACCTACTGTATCAAGGCCTGTAGTGATTATTATTATTACTCACCATGACTGACACATCTCTCCTGAATTAAAGGTTTCTTCTAATGGATGATAGTTACCCTCAGCATCGTAACAGCCACAAGTGTTAACACATTTCATCTCAACCTCACTGAAATAAGGCTTATCTCCTGGGCAGTGTGGATAGCAGCCTAAGTGGAGGGAAGGGATGAGGGGGAAATAAAAACAATTATCTGAATGATATTGAATTCAAACAAAGCTGATGATTCACAATCAACATTTAAACTGCTTTGGATCAGTTTCAAGACCAAGATTCCACAAACTGGCCTTTTAATGAGTTCTATTACCTTGAAATTGCTAGGCTGTCTGTTGGAAGACTGGATAGTACCTCTTACCAGAATGTAGAGATCCTCAATAGTTTCCACTATGTTACTGAGGAAGATTAGACGTTAATATACCAAGTTCAGTGGAGTGTGGTATAAAACCCCCTCCATTAGAAAAAGGCCTTCTGTGTCATGACATCCATTTCTCCCTCCCTGTATCTAGCACTTATTCTATTGGCATAGAAATGTCAGCTGAAAACTTCCTTTTCCTCCAGATATTTAATGGGATTAGATAGTAATGAATTTATACTATTTAGAATTTGTCCTTTTTTTCCCTCCCATTTTTTCTCTGGTATATGTATTTTATAGCTTTGATTAGCTTAATTATCAAATTCTTCCAAATGATGTATTGAGGCCCCCTTTTGCTTTGTTTTATTGCTAGTTCCTCCTTTTGAAATCATTTTTTTCGCAGCCCCAATATTCCTGATGACTATTGAGAATTAAAAAGGTGGATGCAATACTGGCTTCTGCCTTTTTATCAACTATCTGCAACTTGGGGGAGAAAAGATTGATATTGAAATAAAAGAATGCAGAAAGAAAAGGCAAACACTCTGTTTAGCTCTGTACACCCATCCAATTCAAACTCATACCATCAAAGTAGATGAATCATTAAATCTGATCATGGATTTCTAGCACCATGTCTTGGGAGGCTCTCAGAAAGGTTAACTGTAAATTATTTGAAGCCAAAGACAGAAACATACAGAAATTAAAGAAGGTGACATTTTTTATAGAGTGATAAAAAATGACCTAGCATCCTTTAAATAATCATTATCCCCATCTAAGATACATAAGGCAAGAAAAGTCTTCTCACCTTCCAAGGCAGGTAAATTATAAGTGCACTTCCCACTTGGATTCCTACATGTCTTCATGCATGGGGCTCCACAAGGTTTGTAGTGCCATTCACATTCACCTTTGCTATTGTAATAGTCACAAAACATGGCTAAGGGAACCGAGAGAAAAATATTAAGAATCAAATATTTCAATTCTGGATAGATCCTACAACTTATTCCATTATGAAAATAATCAAATCTTAATGCCCACATTTTAATGACTGGAAGACAACCACTCAGGCATGAGATGAAATGGTGCACTAATTTGATTCAAATGGTTGAAGTAATATCTATCTAGCATGACAAGTCAGACATCAATTTTGTATTACAGATTAGGTAGTTGTTGATTTGTAATAAATATTAATAATAGCACAAACATCTAGATGTTTCCTTCATTGCATTTATTATAAGGTGTGATATTAGAACATTGTCATATACTCAGTGGGGTGAAATGATCTCTAAGCTGATACTTCATTTCCCAGCTTTGGATTGTCATTGTCCATGAAATCATATATGATACTCACGGCAGATCGATGGTGTTCTCCATGACACACATACTCCATGTTCACTACATACTTGAGCATATGCAGCTACAGCTGTACAGAAGCATTCACAGTCTCCCCCAGTATCACAAGCGCAGGCATCAATCACACAGGCTTCATAGTATTTAGTTGGTTCCACCTATGAAGGAATGAAAACAGAAGCTACCGGTCTTGATCTTCCAGTGACAATTCTTTCAAAAACTTGTGCAAAACATTGATTTGAGGTCAAAACATTGACTTGAGAGAAGCTGAACTAGAAGTTAAATACATCTGTGCATTTAACATAGAGGTTTCTTAAAAACATGGATGGCATCAACTGAAGCGGGAAATTGACTATTTATGTGATCCCAGCAGGTGAAAAGGAGAAATTTAAGCATTTCCTCTGCTGCTGAGAACCTGAGAAAAATTCCTCTTTTGAAACCACCTTGGTATTTTGTAAAAGGCATACAGTACTATGCTAAACTTCAGTTTATGTATGTATGTATTTATTTATTTATTAGTATGCCGCCCATCTCCCCCCAGTGGGTGACTCTGGGTGGCTCACAATTAAAATCAGAAACCCCATCAACAATTAAAAATCCCCCCATAAATAGTTAAATAAATAATCCATTAAAAATCAAACCCTGTACATAAATACTAAAAACATTCAAGATGATGGGGGGGGGGGCAAAGTCAATCCCCCCACAAGCCACCTCCACTGGTGTGAGCCCCCATCTGGCCCCCAGGCCTTCTGGTACAGCCAGGATTTCGCCCCTTT